CATTACTTCCAATACCGAGTCCTTATTCATTTTGTAATCCTACTTGCGTTTGATAAAACGCCTTATGTTGAAATGTCTCAAAATGCTTCAGAGGTTTTCTGCAAAGTGTAGATACAGCAACACATTACATTCATACAGCACCTTTATATGCAAGTTGTTGTTGTAGCAGCACAGTTGCAATGTCCCATAAACATCCATGAAAGGAATAACCAAATTTATTTGGGGTGTTGTTGGCCAGGACACCAGTAGAGAAACTTCCTTCTCTTTTTCAATAGTGCCATGGGATCTTTACCGTCTACCTGAGCAGGCAGACCGGACCTCGGTTAACGTCTCATCTGAACAACAGGTCCAAAGCAGACAGAGTTCCAAATATAATAATAATCCTTGCATTTAATATAGCACTTTTCACATCTTTGAGATGTCTCAAAGCGCTTCACAGAATATACTGTAAAGTGAATTGACTGTATATTTGTGGGCGAAATACGGCAGCAAATTGTGCACAGCAGTGTCCCACAAACAATTGTGGATTGAAATGACCAATTTATTATGTGGATTATTATCAGGTGTGTGGAGTAAGGAAACTTGCCCACGGTTTTGCCCTGCCAGGAATCAAACCCAGGTCTCTCATTTGCAAGGCGAGTGCTCAAACCACTGAGCTACAGGACTCCTGTATAGCACCTACGCATGGAAATTTTCCTGTGTGTGGAATGGAGTCTGCACTCTATTCCCTGGAAGGACGAACCCTGCTTACCTAATGCCACAGGTTTAGGCCATCTTCTACCCCTCCCCTGGCTCTCTTTTAGCTAGAACTGCTCACTCTTTGTCAAGCACTTTGAGATGTTCTCCCTGTGTGAAAATATGCTGTTTGCTTGTAACTTGTTAAATGTAGAAGATCTCATTTCAATCTATCATAGAATCATAGTTTTAATAAAAGAATTGGCAACGTGAAATTAATCTTTAAACAGCAGCCAGATCAGTTTTTGAACATTCTTAGCTGCAGCCCTTCAAACTCTGTTTGATGTCTATGCAGAGTCTAAATATTTTCAAATCACTCCAGTTCCTCATCAAAGAATGAAGGTCTGGTAGGAGAGAAATAAACTCTCTGTGTTTGAGAATAGCCTGAAACATAATATTATTGTATAAAAGTAACATTGCGTCAATATTCTCCTGATCGATAGACAGACTTTACAACGTCTTTCATTCAACCAGTGAATTATGTTGCCAGCACCAACTGGCACATGACTTTGTCATCAGTTTCAGTGTAACATGAATGAGTTACGGCAATTTCAAAAGGGCTTTCAATGGAATGGCTTTCGAATAGTGAGTGAAAGCGTAAGGATCAGGTGAATAGAAAATGAGACATACATATACAGTAAAACTCACATAAGTCTGATCTGTATAAATCATACAATTGCCTAAATTGTACATCTGCCCAAATCCTGCTCAAGAGTTTGTATTCTACGCAGGTTTGACATAACTCATGCTTTGTATAAGTCGTATTAAATGTATGGTCACAAACTGATATGATTTATGTGAGGATTAATGTATAGGGTGGAATTCAAAATGGGGAACAGTAAAAGTATGAAGTGAATGAGAAGAGGAGTGGGTAGATAAGGCAGGCGCAAAGAGTGGGGAACGTGAAATAAGCACCGTTAATACTGAAACCGGGGGGGGAAATTAGCATGGATTTACGTGAAGTGGACCAGGAATAACCGATGTTGGAAAACAAAAGCATTCAAGGTCATTGGCAGCCTTTATTCTGCAAGATACCTGTTGGTGACGAGAGATCTGACGATATCTGATGATATCTCCTGTACTTTTCATCGCTGTACAAACTGCTGTTTGTGTTGAAGCTTCTTATCAGTGTCCAGCTGTCATTCAATTTCTAACCAAAGTAATTGACTGTTCCTGTACTGGTGACCTTGAGAGTTACATGACTGTTTTAAAATTTATTCCTATTTGATGTATGTTCTTTTTAAGCCTCAGAAGCACTTATGTGCGCAATTGGCTGATGCGTTTCGCCCACATATTACACAGTCAATCCACTATACAATATATACGAGCGCTTTGAGACCTCTCAGTGATGTGATGAATGCAAGGATTATTTATTATTACTAAGAAAATTTAAGACTTCTCAGTGAAACACAAAAGCTTTCAATGTATCGTTTGTAAAGACAACTTAAAATGTTCATGTGCATCTTGATGCAAATGTTGCTGTATTCAGGGAAACAAAGTTGCAGAATTTCAATGAAAACAGTTTTTATAAAAGGAGCAAGATGGCTTTATCGATTTTTTTTATTATTTAGGAAAAGGTTATTTGTAACTTTTCAAATATGTTGTTCAATGTATTTCTCCTTTATTTGTAAGTGGGATTGATTTATCTTAAAAACACCCTTTTCAGGATTCAATGTCAAAGGTTTCGCAAAACATTTGCTGTAGGAGATGATTACGTAAGACCGTGGTCCAAAACAAATTCCTTATTATATCCTGTTTATCTTGTCCAATTAAAACAAACTTAGGCCATGCTTTATTTTTATGCAGCAACACTTTTGACTTCTCATTGACTTCTGGGCGTTTTGCAGTGTTTTATTATTCTTTGCACAAACTCGAGCTTTGATATTGTGAATATGCAGCTGTTTCATTCCCTAGTGTAAATGGGGCCGTGAGGTCCTGGCTCTGGAAAGCAGATTTGAGTTGTTATATCATAATAAAAAGAGAATAATAAAATCAGGAGACTTTGTAGCAGAATCGTATCTGTAAAATAATAATCTTTGCATTTGATCTAGTGCCTTTCAAGTCTGGGGGAGGTCTCCAAGTTCTTCATGGGATTTACTGTAAAGTGGAGTCGCTGTGTATTTGGTAGGCAAATATGAGCCAATTTGTGCACAGCAATGCCCCACAAACACCCATGAAGTGAATGTTCAATTTTATCTAGGAACAGTTTGGGCCTGGATGCCAGTAGACAATCTTTGGAAATGCCATGTGATTTTTTAATGTTCACTTGAACAGATAGATAGGATCTCTGTTTAACATTTTATCTCATCTGAAGGATGACTCCTCCACCAATTCCACAACAATTCCATCCTCCCTTTGGAGTATCAATCTACTCTGTGCTCTTTTTTGGAGCAAGAATTTGAGATTGTAGGGCTGGTAAAACTGTGAAGGAGAGAAATTCAGGTTGTACGTAGCACTGGCAGAGTCTCTACTTTGGAAAATTGCAAAGTGGGATGAAGGCACACATCAATCCCTGGAGTCTGTGTACAGTGCAGAGTGAGGTCGTGCTGCAGTTTAACCAGCTAAAACATCATAGCTTGCCGTTGGGAGCGCTGTCTGGCAAACATTTGTTGAGTTAGTACTAACCTACCCGTTAGAGCTTTGGCTTCCAAGATTAGCAGGAGTCGAGTTGAGAGAATCGCCATCCGTTGTCCGCCCCTCCACGTTCTGTTGATGAGTCAGGCTGGCTGGTCTGTAATGAACAGTGCCTCGGAGTACTGTGGACGTGCCTGGATGAGGAAATGGGCTACCAAGTCAATTTTGCTAGTAAATCTAGTCAATTTTGCCCAGAAAATATACAGTCAATTCACTTTACAGTATATTCTGTGTGACATCCATGTCAAATACAAGCCATTATATCACATGCAAGCTTTATTATTGTCATGAAATCCTTCTCATCTACATTCGAAGGTGACCGACCGAGTCAGTATAACCATATTTAAAAATTGTATTTGAGAAATTGAAACTATCAGAACGAGCAATATAATAGGATCGATGGAAACATTTTATTGTATAAGCCACTGTTTTTTTAACCTATATAACTACAGAAAAATGTGGGTCAGAGAATAATCTGCTGCTGTGGAACATAGAGCAATATCTAGAAAATATCTCAGTAAATGCTAGAGACTGGAATACACCCAAGTGATTCAAATGGCTTTATAATTCATGAGAGAGAAACCCTGGGTGATTTATTCATGCGTCCAAGCCCCTTACAGATTATAAACTGCAACGGAGCAGTCCATTCAATATTATAACAAACTGGATAATAGATCAACAAATCATTATAATGTAGGATTTTTCAATCTACCAAACTGAAGCTCCTGTCTTTCAACTCACTCTTTCTCTAGTTCTGTTATTTTATTAATTTATAATAATAATAAATAATAATAATCCTTGCATTTGATGTAACTCTTTTTCACATCTTCTGATGTCTCAAAGCGCTTCACAGAATATACTGTAAAGTGAATTGACTGTATATTTTGTGGGCGAACGCGGCAGCCAATTGCGCAGAGCAGTGTCCCACAAACAGTTTTGGATTGAGTGACCAAATTATTATTACCCAAGGTTTTGCCCTGCCGGGAATCGAACCCAGGTCTCTCGCTTGCCAGGCAAGCGCTCTAACCGCCGAGCTACAGGACTTCTCAAATCATTCAGTTTTGCTCAGTGATTTTGACAGCGTTCAGAAATGAGATTGGTGTGTGAGTGGGGTTATAGATTTCTGTTCTAGAGCAATGTTTGCTTGTAGTATTTAAGACATCCGTTAAACAGATGGACCAAAAAAAAGTGATGTAAATGAGAGAATTGGAATACAAACTTCTCACACTTTGCTTTCACACTGTGTCAGCCCAGAAGAACATTCACCAATGTTAGAAGGTCAGGCGTTTCTTCCCACTCACATTTAATTGTTCTGTTTTCAAAGCTGCTTTTTCCACCAGTTGGAAATTCTAATAAATCTAAAATAAGGTTTACAGTGCACGCTATAAAATTGGCTTTATCTTTGAATTTCACTGCGTTCTGGAGTAAATAACCATTGAAGTGATTGATTTTTCATTATTGATGGTATTATCAACAACGTGCATTTATACATGCAGGGTAGCATCTCGGAGTACTTGACAGTGGCAGAGTCTGAGGCCGAGCCAGGGAGAGAGGAGGTGACCGTAAGCATGATCAAAAAGGAAGGTCTTTAGCGGGCTTTGAAGATGGTGAGGGCAAGGCGGAGGGATTGGCTATGCTCGACTTGAAAACATTTGCTTTTTTCCTCTCGTCCTGTATTTCTTCGAGTCAGCTGAATTTCTCTTTGTAGGAATCTCAAAAACGTTCACTTCCACTGGGCGTCTGTTGCCTGGGGTTGGTGAGGCTGGAGGTTTCCGTTCAGACAGCCTGGGCATGTTGAGATGTCTCACGACATTCTTCCGTTTCCCAGCCTGTGGTGGGTTTGGCTTCATTGACCAAGGCGCCATCATTGCGTTCAGGAAGCCTGCATACTGTTGTTGCATAGCCATCAATCCCACATTCGAAACTGGAGGCAAAGGTGGTGGTTTTGGAACAGGAGCCAAATTGACAGGTTTTCCTTGGGGAAATGCATCCGCATATGAAGGGTTAACTCCGGTGATGGCGGCTATCTGACGGGCATTGTGGCAGTCTGCAGACGCCCTCGCGGGCAAAACTGAACCACAGTGTATAGGAGGTATCCCGTTCACAAACCTGTGTGCAAGAACAGCCCATATCCCACTGCAGATGGGACTGATGGTCACCCTGGGCCAGAGGGCGGCCAAACTGTGCAACGCTTGTCGATTCCATCCAGCTTCAGGAAAGCCCTCATCCGTGTGGTAGAGCTGAGAAAAGTAAATGTCCAGCCGAGTGCTGGGGTAGTTTAGCAAGAAATCGTACATTTTGCTTACGCATTGGTGCGTTGATTCATTGCATGGGGTGTAATTGGTATACAGAGTAATGTAGGCGACGTTACCATAGGAATACATGAGCGAATCCAGATACCCGTCAGTGTTGAAGAGCATCGACTCTGGATGAAGCTGGTGGGAGGTGCAGTTGGTTACTTGCCCTTTCTGCACAAATGTCCCAGTCGTTAACTTAAGTTCGTAGAACAGAAAGTGCCGGCTGGACTGCGGTTGACCGTAGGGGAACCCGAACGTCTCGTAGAATTCCAAGAAGCTGACGCGCGCTTCTTCCCCGGTTTTGATGTGATACGGACACTTTCGGCAGCCTTCGGTGGACTGTAACCAGGAGTAAGGCTTCACCAGAGTTCCTTGAGGCGCAATGTATTCTTGGTAGCTGGTAGCCATCGTGGTTCTTTATCCTGATCCAATTCCTAGGAAAATGTCATTGCAGTAGATAATCCTTAAAGATTGTGAAGTGAAAACAGGGCATTGAATAAATCATTGCTTTGCATGACTTGTGCAACAGCGTTCACTAATGTTCCCCATCAAAATAATAATTTTGCTATTTGATCATATAGAGTCCTTTTAGGAACATGGGAACAGGAGTAGGCCATTCATCCCCTTGAGCCTATGGCTGATCTATACCTCAACCCATTCACCTGGGATTATTACCCCTGAAAAGTAATCCGCCAATTGAATAACAACTGGGTTTGTACTTACTGCTAGGTAAACGGAGGTGTGTGGAGTAAGGACAGTTGCCGAAGGTTATGACCCGCCCTGGAATCGAACCCGGGTCCTCTCACTTGTGAGGCGCGCTGAATATCTCAGTTTGCGTGTAAAGAGGCCTGGTGTGAAGTTGAATGCTAAAAGCAGTGGAGCAGGCTTGGACCTTGTGTGCAGTGCAGAGCTACTGTTTACCTGTTACCAAGAGACTGTTGAGCTTCAGCAGTTGCTGTCATAGTTCTTCGCCTTTTTCATCATTTTATTCTAAATGTCTGTCTTCTGTTCATATCAATGTTTAGTGGAATTGGTGAGACCAGCCCATACAACGGAAGACACTGTGTATTATAACTCTTCTACCTTTCAGACGGAGTGTGTTCTGGTAGTTTTAGTCAGGGCAGGTGCAGTTGCAGATTCCTTTCTGAAGCAAAGCAATTGATCACTGTAGCTGACTCCATGGCAATAAGTGTTGGCACTAGGATACACTACGAGATAGATACAGGTCTTGACTTCCTTATAGATCTAGCAGTATATATGTTTTTTTTAAAAAGGGTCTATTTGTCATAGATTGCACTATAGTAAATGCTCAGTTCATTGAATGTCGCAACACTAGAAATAGAAATTCCGACAATGTATTGTATTCAACAACTTTCATTTGTATCGCGGCCTTTACACAGGATATCTTCTCAGAGCTCTGAACAAAGTAGCAGTGTTTGATGCCTAGCTGGGGAGAAAGTAGAGATGACACATTCAACAAGGAAAGTCTTCAGGAACAAATTTGAAGGCTGACAAAAGAGGGGCAAGACAGAGGGGTTGAGGCAGGGAGCTCCAGAGTTTCAGAGCCTAGGAGCTGAAGGTGTGGCCAGCGATGTTGGAGCGGAGGGGTTGGGGACCTTCAGAAGACCCGAGCCAGACGAGCGAAGGGGGCATGTAGAGGAGTGGGTTAAATTAAAAATTGTGTTTAATAATTAAGCAGTTGCATACAATATCCTGATTAAAACCAACTCTGATAACTATGTTTCAGTGTCATCAAAATACCAAGTTTCATTAACTCCTTACATCACCATCAGGCATTTTAAAAACAATTCTGGAGCTGGTTCTGACTGCAATAGGTGGCATTTCATAGACATGAGGGAGTGTGATTTGCCAGTGCTTTAGTACAGATTGGATCATTGCTAGACGTGCAGAGGTGTTGTATTGTGTAACTCGGATTACATTAACACCAGAGTTTGGATTCCAGTACTGTCTTTCGTAATTGTGACTGTGCTAGACTGGCTTTGGGTTCAGGGCACACTGGAAACCGTTCATAGGTTCTGTTTCCAGTGTAAGAAGTGATTCATTATCTTAAGTGTTTTTGGCAAGCTTAAAGAATGATTTCCCTCATTATCCCCTGAGTATAATACTAAGAACTATAAATGCTTTGGAATCCACGTGTAACTATCCTGCACTCTAGTGAAAAAGGGTCAAAGCATCATGTTTCTTTAAAAATCCTTTAATGCGATGCATTAAGATGCAAAAAGATTGGGCTGGGTTTCCTGGAGACGGTTACTTATACAGCATTGACCGACCTCACCAGCATCTGCAGGTTTACATCTAACTTAGCATGTTTTCCTTCTGGCTAAACTCTGGTGGAGAGTTACTTAGATTTGTATAGATCACCCACAAAACATACAATCACTCCACTTTACAGCATATGCTGTGACAGTGGAAGTACCATACCAAATGCTTGAGTATGGCTCGAAACTGGCCATTCAGTCTAGCTAGTCCACGCTGATGTTTATACTCCAGACTAACCCCTACACTTCCTATTCCCCTCTTCTATATAATAATAATCCTTGCATTTGATATAGTGCCTTATTACATCTTGGAGACGTCTCAAAGCGCTTCACAGAATATACTGTAAAGTGAATTGACTGTATATTTTGTGGGCGAAACACAGCAGCCAATTGCCCACAGCAATGTCTCATAAACAGTGGAGGATTGAGTGATCAAATTCTCTTTATATTTCATGCGACAGAAGACCAAAAGGAAAATACCACTGGACCTCTCTAGAAAGAGAGGCAGGCCTCTTAAACTGACCCAAACTTTGGTGCAAGTTTAACTATGTCACCAGAGTTTGACTAGCAGGAATATGTGCAAAGTTAGATGTAATGCATGCAGCTGAAAGATGCATGGCAAAAGGATTTGCATATATTTCCCCCACAAAATATACACTCAATTCACTTTACAGGATATTCTGTAAGTGGATTGCCTGCATATTTAGTGGGCAAAATGTGTAGTGCTATGGATGCTGTCCTTCAGTCTGCAAATTTAGGTGGATGTTAATGGTCCCATGATACAACTCAAGGGGAAGGGAGTTGCTCCTGGAAGCCTGTGGTAAACAGGGCAGTGGAATTGAATGTGCACTTTCCTCAGAGCTATTGCAGGCTCTGTACGTCTCTGATTCTCTGATGTTGTGGGCTGTTTGTGGGATATTTCTGTGCGTAAATTAGCTTCCATGTTTTCCTATAAATGCATAGTAAATATACAAGAGAACTGAAGTTTAGTTTGGCACTTGCTATCTTCTCATTCCACATATGCAATGTGATCAGTTTTGAGCAGCCTCAACGCAGAGCATTTTTTAAGCAATTGTCACTGGCGGGTACTGAACTCAAATGGGCACTTTTATCCCACATCCAGAAGCATTAAAGACAGATTTCTACAGATGAAGGAACGCTTACTGTATTTGTTTCAAACCGGAGGATGCTTGAAATAATAGGAAAGCAGGAATCTAATAAGTAATCATATAATCTCTTTAATTATCAAATAATATTCTGTAAAATTTGCCTAAAATTCTGTAAAAACTGCCTAAATGGTGACTGCTTGACGACTGCCGATGAAATCACCATTACCTTTATTATTATGGAAGGATAATTTACTGGTAAGGAATATTGAAATTACTGTTGGGGAATTCTTGGGGCTGGTGGGGATTTTCCCCATCAATTTACATGTTAAAAAATGCCCTGTCTCAATGTCGTGCAATTTGTTGTCAATAGAGTTTGAATTGGACAGTGTTTTACCGCTGAGGACTGTCTTTAATACACTGACAGCATGAAGAAAATCCAGGGTCAGTTGAAATACAGTGAGAGCAAATACAAGGAAAGTGAATGAGATTTTAACACTGATGTTTCAAAGAGAAATTACTTTGACTGAAAGAAGGTTTTTTCCCCTCTTCACACAGACAGATTTTAAGATGATTTAAACCCACGGTCAGCAACACTTAGCTATTAGGGATTTCAGCCAAATGAAAAAAATACTGGTGGGTAGTTGAATGCATGTATCACAAGCTGCCTTTCCTTTATTGTGTGGTAAGCAGGCCCTTTTGGTGATGTGACGCAAAGGGGCTGAAGCCTGAATCATACACTGAGCTAGCAGTGTGGGGGCTTATTGCTGATCTGCATAATTGTGCTGGCAATGTCAATGCGTCATTCAGTCAGAGTGCGAGGTTCTCCTGAGTATTATTTTCATTGAAGTTTAAAACTGGGTCTAGATTTTCACCCACAAAATATGCAATCAATCCATTTTATCCTGTGAAGCACTTTGAGATATCTCAATGTCGTGATAAGGCACTATATCAAATGCAAGGATTATTATTATTGTTGTTTACATTTCTCTGTAGGAAATTAAATAGGAATTGTCCTCCTTCAAGAATCGAAATGGCAATATTCAAAACTTTCTGAGGAGATTTCTGAGGAAATTCTAGGATGTTAAAGATTGTAGCTGAAATTGAGTTTTATTAAAAGGATTCTTTATTATTTTTTGACTAATGTTGACCATGCAAAGAGGACATAGATCAAAGAGCCTGGTGCTATTTGTGAATCAAATTCTATGAAAACTCCCAACGTATTGCACTCATTGTGTGGTACAGTAACCTTACAGTGTGTACAAAGTTCTGATCTTATAGTGTTAGAGCACGTCACTGCTTATATTATTGCTTCTTTATGATCTGCCAAAGTTCATTTGTTTAAAACCCATTGCTTCACAGTAGAGTTGGCAATCACCTTTTTTTTCCTTTTTTGGTCCTAGATTCAAGGAAATAAGAATAGAACGTGATCACTGGCAATCTACAATCTCTTCTGAATGGCGAGTGGTAAAATGTTGTGGGGGTGGGGGTGGAGAAGCATGAGGAGGAATCAAATTTTAATCCAAATTGTATGATAACTAGTTCACTCTAGATTCAGAAGTTGTCTGAGCTCTCTGTCTCCCTTCTTGCGAATGTTGGGGAGTTTTCTTCCACCAACTCTTTTGAGCAAACATTGTCATTCTGCTCATGTTTGTTCCCATTTGAGTCACTTGGCTTTGTTCTCATCTGCTGCCATAGTTTCCTGTTTATATTGTGGTAATAGTCTGAATGAAGCTGTGTTATTACCCTCAGGGGAGAGACAGAATTTATTAAATATTACGGTTCGGGAGCCTGGATTCCATGGTTCTGTAATAAAACATAATCCATGCATTTATATTATGTTTGCAATGTCACAACGTCTTGACGCACTTCACATTTGATTGTGGTCAAATGTAGTAGCTGTATTTTCTGCAAATATAGCAGCCAGCAGGATGAGAGATATAGCACTCCTCAAGCAGGGTAGTGTCCCAGACCACTTGCCAGTGGCAGAGTACAACACTAAACCAGGGTGAGGGGGATGTGA